GCTTCTTTCTTCATTTGTCTCATATTTGATTTTTAATTTTCTATTAATTTGTTTAATAATTGTCATTCTTTTATTTTTTCTCTTCTCTTTATTACTTTGATTATTATTTAATGATTGTTCTTGATTAATGTTCAAAAGGTCTTCAATTGAAACTTCATTCTAGGCTTGATCATTAATAAATTCTTCAAATAGTAACTCATTGTTGATGAAACTTGTAGGAATTTGATTGGCAAATTCTTCAATTGAAGTTCCTACTATTTCTGTTTTAGCAATTTTTAAAGTTAATTGGTCTTGAATTAGTTGTAATAATTTTTCTTGGATCAAATTATCCTTTCATTCCATTAAAAATTGTCTAACTAGAAGTAGTCTGAACACCAAATCCAGGTATAACCCAATACATGATGGGAACATAGCATACTCTGTAGGTTTAGATCATAGATAAATTCATCTAAGCTTGTATTCTGAAGATAGATATGTAACCATATAAAGCAATTACTACGCCATATAACTAATAAAGATACGGGGCATGACCTCACCTTAACACTGAAAAAAAAACATATCAAATATGTTTTGAGCTTGCAACGAAATTTTAATTGGTTTTTCTTACATAGTCACTTGTATTTTTTTCTAATTTGTAACATTAAAATACATAAGAAAGTGATTATTCAAAATGCAAATAACGATGTACGTATGTACGTACATACGTAAAAAAAAAAAAAATCAATAATCTCAATACATACTGCCTTTCTTTTGTCTTGACGCTTTATTTTATTAATGGTTAAATTTAATTATAAATTATAAATAAGTGAGTGATTCATAGTAAATATATTATACATCTTAAATAAATAAATCTATAATGCAAATTTAAATTATATCGATTATACTTGGAATCCATCAAGTTAATTCGAAATTTTTATAAAACCATCTAAACGTAAATCCCATTTACAACATTTATCAAATTAGTGAACCAATTTGATAATCACATACCGTAAGGTAACCGAAAAAAAACCCAAAAATTATCTCTAATCTCGTAGTTGATTTTGATAACTTCCCAACAATTTTAAGTCTAAACAAAATTCTTTCAATTCTTCCAAAGATTTTTTTACATCATCATCATCTTTATGTCCTTGTAGTTCAACAAAAAACACATAATGCCAAGGTCTTTGTAACGAAGGCCTTGAATCAATTTTTGTCAAATTGATATTATTATCTTTAAAAATCCTTAAGCTGTCACATAAAGCACCAGGTTTTCGATGATCCACAGTAAACAATAGTAAAGTTTTATCATTATTAGTTGGTTTGTCTGAATTTGTACTCAGGACAAAGAAACGTGTGGAATTATCTTATATTTATTATTGAAATTATTGAGATTGTTAAATTATATTGAAATGAATAAATATTCATATAATTAACACATGATAACATTGTAAGTTAATTATTTAATATAATTAAATAATATTCACCTTTTTGATCCTGGATATCATATGCTAATACATTTAACCCATACAAATCAGCACATATCAAATTAGATATGGCAGCTGAAGCAGGCTCTACAGTCGCTAATTCAGCTGCTTTACTTGTAGAAAATGTGTCAATTCGTTGAACACCTTTAAGATGAGTATCAAGCCATCTTTGGCATTGTCCAAAAGCCTTTAAAAGTATTAAATAATGTAATATTAAATTACAGTTTAAAATAATACAAGTACATATTAGTTAATAAAGTATTAATCAATGCATATCTGAATAATAAATTAAATTCAAACAAGTATCGTATTATTTTTGTCTCTCAATGTTAAAATATAAATAAAACACACCTGAGGATGACTATACACTTTTTTTAACGACTCGAGTTTAAAATTCGAAAGTAAACAATGGTTAACCTTATATTAAATTATATTAGTTATGTTGTTTATAATCTTAAATAACTTAATTCTAATAACTTACTTTAAGATATGTTTCTGCCAAAATTTGAACTTTTGATGAAATAAAATAATCCAATGTGGCAACAACTGATCCATAAGTCGAATTTTCAAAAGGAACAATACCGTAAGTTGTATTGCCTTTTTCCACAGAATCAAATACATCTTTGTAGGTGGTATAAACCAAATTTTATTTAAAATTAATCTTTAATATAGATATCGCAAAGATAACTTAACTTATATTACCATTTACTGTTTCTTGCGGATAATAAAGCACGTTATCGCCAAATTTTTCACGGGCAGCCTCGATAAACACAAATATTTATTAGGAAAGTCAATCACAATTAGGGGAGTCGCAGATATTACATAATATCCTTAGGGTGGAGGGGGGTCAGAGATCTCTTACGTGTCTAATAAGAATATATAAGACGGTGTCTTACGTGGAGAGAGGGAGTCAGCTACTATTAAGTTATATTACGTAATACCTGCGACTCCCTTACTACTGTTATTATTATTATTTAAAAACCTGATGCGTATAAGAACCGGGAGAACCAAAATATGCAACAGATGTTTCTCTTTGCAAAGCTGACATTATTTCTCATAGGGAGACATTCATGAATAGGAGCGACCGTTCAAATTCGTAGATGATTCCGATATGGTTACACGATTGATTAATAATTTCTTTTTATACATCTTACAATACTTCTTTTAAAAGCTCGAGTAGCTTAATTTTCTATGAAACGAGAATAAATTTAACGGATGAATTGATGTTTTTGCTTCGCCCTATATCATATTCTTTGAATCCCTGTGAATCCCACAACTTGTACGTTTGCAGACGATAGATGATAATGAAGTTCGATAATCTGATTGGTCAAAGTAATTTTCACCATCATCCATAAATTTATGTATTCTCATTGGTTCGAATACAAACGATATTTATAAAAGCTAATTAGCTCTAAATAAATTTTTTTGTGCATATAATATTATTACGCAATTATATAGTTTACAAATTAGGTAGAATATGATATATATACTTAATTTATATTTCTAATATTGTATTTTAATTAACCAATTATAACCTTGACCAATTATACATATTCATTGAATATTCGATGAATTGCGTATTTGGTAAACCAATTATATATTCGAATATCCGATTCAGTGAAAATGTTATACGTTCAAACATTCGTCGGATCAGAACTCTATACACAAACTTTATCTATTTTCTTAATTTATGCGATTTGACCGGTTAATGTTTACGTGTAGATCTACAAAATTTGGCCACCGGACAAACTTCTCTCTATGCCATAGTCATTAAACCAACAAAATGCCATAAATAGTTAATTTATATTCTAATTTTTTTTAACAATCATTAACATTCTTAACTATCCAATTCACTGTGGAAATTAACACCATTATTTTGAGGGTCTTCAAACCATTCGCATTTTATCCATTCTTTAACTTCCTCTACATCACCTAATGTTTTTGGAAAATTATCTAATTCAAAATTCTCTAGCTTCAAAATGGCATAAAATGCTTGATATGCTTCCATTATATGATGCTATAAGTTCAGGAAATAAGTTACAGTTAGCGCCAAAACAAAGAGTGAATAGTGAGTGTATTACAAAACTGAATAATATTGCTACCTGAATTGGTTTTAGCAATACATTTTCTGTTTTACGATCATCTAGATATTCTGACATCTTGGTGATAATATAACGAAGCCGGGATTTAACCGCATCTTGAAAGGTTTCATACACCTCGATAATATTTGCTAGAAATTATGGGAAGGTTTATTAAGAAAACTTTGAAGAAAACTTTCATCATATTCGCAAAGATAGATTTACCAGGTTGTGCGAAGCTTTGATCTTTTAACAACGTTTGCTGATGTGCAGGTTTAAGATCATTTCTTAATTGGAAAGCGGACACCTAAAACACAAAGCATAGTAACATTGATGTAATTATAAATCTAAAGAAATATTTCATGAAATTTTACCTTCATTAGGAATGATGATAATGGTTCAATGGATGCTTTGGAACTATCCGTAATGAACTCTTCACATATGCGCTTCAGCTCTTTGTCGACTTCCTATATTAAGTTCCGTCTTTATCTATAAGATATTATGGATAATAATATATATAAATATGGGCATAAGCTAACCTGTTT